TCTTGTAGCCATGTTAGGCGCAAGAATTTTTTAGTTTCAAGCTATCGATCGAATGAATCTTAATAAGTTTATGATTGAAATTGCGATGGAGTCAATGGTCAAGAGCTGTGAGAAACTTCTGAACGCGCATTGAAATGGTTGATTGGATATTATTTAACCTGGTTGACACCAGTTCGATTGGATTCGTGAAAATTTTTGGCGTGAATATCTATGCATGATAAAAAGGTTATCTATCACTATGTCTGTCATACATTGAAAATGAGTAGGAACAATTCATTTCACCAGGGTTTCGCAGATATCCTGTTTCCTTGATATTTTCAACTGTCAATAGTAATAGGAAGGGGGACGTCTCGTTTGACCCAATTTTCGATTCGCCCAATTTTCGATTTACCCAATTTTCGATTCACCCACCGTCTCCGAAACAGCGAAAGATGCGCTGTTGTCAAATTATGCCATATTTCCTCGGATTCAATGAAACGGGAATTATCAACACATTCAATATTTTTTTTTAATTGACTCGGCCGTTACTTGATGGAAATCCATGATAAATGTAAAAACTTCACAAACGATAACATTTCCACAAAATTTATTAAACACACGACATGTTTCGCTAACACAGTAGCTTCGTCACGTGATATACTGGTACAATGAACTAAACTAACGTTGGCTTGCTTAACTTTTATATATCTTACCTTCCCAACCTGAAGGATTAGTTACCTGTGGACAAGTACGATAAACCTCCATTTTCGGAAATTATGCACAATATCTACATTAAATTACGGTATACCGAATTAACTTGTTACCCTCTGTTCAAATATCCATGCGGTAGGCACAATGATGCGGAGTTCCATAATTAAAATTGTTTTAAAATTGGCGAACTTGATTGTTTCTCGTATTTTGTTCAATTCTTGGAATGAAATTTCTTGTTAATAGGAAAAAAAAATCTGATATCATGGGAATATTCCTTAGACTGTATCATATTAATGTGCTGAATATGTGTAGGTACTTATTTCAAAAGCACCTTGTATTGAAATCAGAAAATTATCATCTTTATCATTCTTTTGAAGTAATCAAATATCTGTCAGTCTCTTTATTTGATTTTGAAAAATTTGCTTTTAGTGGTTGTTTCGAAATTCACGTAACCACGAAGTCCAATGAGAGATAAAAGGACTTTAAGTTTCTTCTCGTTGACGGTGTTATATGTGATATACACTCGAGAAAAAAGTACTTACTCATTTATAAAAAGTGACATTTCATAACCTGTCAAGAGTGAGGGAATTCCAAACTTTTTTCCCGTCACACAAAAAACTCTATTTATCAAATAATATCATGGTTTCATCATGGTATCATTGTCATAATTGACAATTATCTTTACAGTATTTAATATTTTGGTAAGACCATGGATGAATTTAGTTATGATGAGTATGCACCTTATTTATGGACTGACAGTGACTTTCAAGGTCAATAACTCCGTAACAAAGTAAGATAGACATTTTGTTATATAAAGTACTAACGATCTTTTGCCTCAACCCTCCACGGTATGACCTTTCCGGACACCCTGTATATTTATTCCTTTAGATTTATGAGATTTCCTCTCCTCGTCTCATGAGCGGAAATATTTTTCAAACAAGATGTTACTTACAGTACCATCTTGGGAAAAATCATCTGATTTGTCCCAGATATATTGAGATAATACTAATATTCTTATTTTTAGAGATAGGTACTAACGAGAAACACGAAAGTCTATGAAAATGATATATCATACCTATCTGAAGCAGAGATGAGAAACCCTTGGCAGTTAACCTCATGGTATATTTTTCTACATGCAGTTCAGGAAGAGTTTGAGAACAATAACTATCTTCTCATCACAATGATTGCTGAGTTCCGAAAATGAGTTCAAGTGATGACTCAAAATGGAAAGAAGAATTCATTAAATCACTTACATTTCCTTCATAAAAAACAACAGAAGAGTGGTATGGAATAATAATTGTGATTGAAAAATACTGAAGTGATTATATCTCCAGATAAAATCTGTTGTTGTTGATAATCAGGATGATTATAATCACCATAAATACCCAAAGAATCAATTTTTTGTTATATCTTCCGAGGAGCGAATGAAGCGAATATTCATTATATTAGTACCTAGGAATTTGAGTAGATGATTCCTTCAGGTTTTTGGAAGCTCTTTTCCAAAATATATTCTAAAGCTATTTGACCATACCAAAATTGAGAATCAACAAAATTCATCAATGTCAAGTTAGATTTATAAACTAATTTCTGAAATCACTCACCGAATAAGAAAATCCAGATCATCAAATTCGAACGGCATTTTGATGGAAGGCACATTGTGAATTAATTTTTCACTTTAATTGGAGACAGACACGATCATGCCCCACTAACTCACATTGAACTAGTGAAGTGAACGCTGCATAAAGACATCTAAGTGAAACAGCAGACGTTACTGTCTGTCGCCATGAATGGATTTGCCTCTGCCTCATCAGGATGAACTCTATTTAGACCGGAAGATATTGACAAATTTTCAGACGTGGTTTCACCCAGTATGCTTTTTGGAGGGTATTTTTATGTGTATATTCTGATATGAATAAATGAAAGGATAAAAGGATCCTCTCGGGTTCTTCATGCATTGAAGCATGTTTTCATGGTTAGGTGCACAGATTAACAAGTTACTTTTCCGAAGCTTCTGTGAACAAGGAAATAGTATAGTGTGCAGCATCTGGGGAAAAGTATACTTTTACAACTGCACATATTTAGAGAACAGTGTAACTCGATATTTATTTTTATGGTTATATAGCAGAACTGACATAACATCAAAGTATCCTACTGGGTTGAATTCCATCAGGACTTTTAGCCTCATTCGGTTGGAGACCAAGCAAAATGTATTTGATGATGGCGGCACTCTTTCCTGAGAATTTAAGGTGGGGTTTGCTGCGAACATGTCTGCAAAAATGTTTGCTTCCTCTTGCGATGTTGTTGCTAATGTGCCGTCGGATTTGGAGAGTGGTGGGAATGATTAACTATCAGTGTTATTTTCATTTCATTGAAAATGTATGCAGGTTTCCTCACGATGTTGTTCCTCCACCTAGCGGATCGATGATGAATGCATTGAGATAATGTGTTCTATGTATGAATGTGAAGTCTCCAATACGCATTGGGCTAGCGTGCCCTTACAACACAGGGATGTCCTAGGCACGTCCCTTTTTTGTCCCGCGGTGCAAGGACATGATTGGGGCATCCAGGGGATGTCACGTAGTGGTTGTCCAGTGGACATCCCGCCTGGTACATCCCTAGGTTATCCTATTCGTGTCCCTGAAATATCTGATATCCATTCACATCAGAGTCATTGAATTTCATCAAAGTATTAAGTTGCATTTTTTTGAAATTGTTCGTTTTTCTTCCGGAAAATAATCGTGGTGAAAATAAAGAATTATACCCAAATCCTAACAAAGTTGTATTCATGCAGGTTTCTGTAGTTAAGTCCTGTTTATAAATCTGTTTGGTACATAAATCTTCAGGAGGCTCAATAGCCAATGGAGTAAGATGCGTGCCTGATAAGCCAAAGGTCCCGGGTTCAATCCGTACTCGACCTACATTTTTTTCTTTTGTCGAAGGGATGTCCCTGGGATATCCTTGGGACATCTTAGGGATATCCTTCCTTCGTACTTGGTACATTCCAGGGACATACCAGAAGGACATCCCTAGGATGCCTCTTTTTGTGGAGAGCGGATGTCCCTGGGACGTCCCTAGTATGTACCATGTCTCGACACAGGATATCCTAGGGACGTCCTCTTAGAAAATGAAGGACGTCTCTGGGACGTCCCTGGGACGTCCCTGGGACGTACTCGTGTTGTTAGGGTGGGGACTACATACCATTTCCTCTCGCCTAAGAGAGGAGGTCTATGGCCATTAGTGGGACACATACAACGTGTAATTGAGTACGCTGAAAATTTTGGAGTTTATTGAAATTGAACTAAAAAAATTTTTTTTTTTTTTGTTGTTCCCTCAACTGAGTACAACTTGGCGATTTTAACTGAAAGGGCCCCTGGGCCCCATCAGAAGAACTTGTCTCGGGTCCCAGATGGTATAGTTACGCCACTGCACATCCCTACAGTCTATTCAAAAATAGCATCCTTGAACCTAGAGTGTCTCGAAAATCTTATTTCACGCCCTTTGAAGAGTGTGCACTACAGAGCTGGGCATTATTTGTATTTACAAATACTTTTTAGTATTTAAATACTTTCTGGTTCAGGTAATTATATTTATTCTTACAAATATTTGTTGGAATATATTTATTACTGAGTATTTGCGGATAGTTTCGCGAAGTATTTAAATATATCTGAAGTATTTAAATACTATCGGAGTATTTAAATACCCAAAAGTATTTAAATACCCAAAAGTATTTGAATATTTCAGAAGTATTTGAGTACTTGTTGAATATTCAAATACCATGAAGTATTCAAATATTTATAAGTATTCAAATACTCCGAGAATGATTGAATATCCACACATATCCTACAGAAAAATATAGAACTGTTTGGGACAAGACATAAAACAAGTATTCAATAATAATTTCAAGTTATTTTACCCTCGGCCCTTCCCTCAGTACAGGTAGTTTCAGATAGTAGAGACCTCTATATCGATATTTCGATATATCGAACTCGATATGTTTTGACTTATTGCTAATCGATATGTGAAATCCAATATCGCCCAGCCTTTGTCCACACTCTTCAATGGGCGTGTAATGAGATGTTCGATTCACTAGCTCTACTAGAACCCAACCCACACACATCCTTGTTTACTGTTTCCTTAGATACCCTATGGATCGCGGAATCCGGTCCTGCGAAGGACCATGAAATTGATTGGCCAGGATGCCTATTACAACACGATTGATTATAAACTGATAATAGTACGTTGACGCACGCGCTCAAAACCCGTATCTCGTTCTCCACACTCGCACCTCGAACTGAAATAATTGCAGGCTTTCGTTTATGCGATTGATTCGATCGCGGATTTATAGGCTGTTTTTCGAAAAGACTGGCCAGCATTTTCGGAAATCCATGAGCGCCTCTGAACGATGAAGTTTGTTCTGTGCGCGGTCGTCCCTGGTGAGAAAGTGCTGCCTTTCGAAAACGGGCAATATGTGTCGGATGGTTTTGTTTGGGTTTGTGTGTTGGAAACATAAGCTGAAAGGAGTTTTGCGATGTCGAGCCTGAAGAAGGGCTCCAGCAGCAAACGTTACGAGTGAGTAGGTCCAAGTTCTAGTTTGGAGCCGGTGAAAACACACCATCGTCCACCAATAATTGGTGGACGATGAACAAATTGCTATGTGCGCCAAAGTTTAGATAACTGTTGCACGTTCAATGGTTGACAATTAATCAAAATACGATTAATAGCCTCTTGGGTTAGGCCTAAAATTGTTCTGAGATATATTTTTAAACTCCGAACACAAAAAACGAACAGATAAGTCGGTACATTCTTAAATTTCATACAAGTTTGAGATACTATATTTACTCACACGTTAATAAGGTCCACGATACAGTGTGTTACTTGAAGACATGCTTATATTTGAAAGGGTGATTCTTTGACTCATTTTAAGATAAAAACTTTCCATGAACGTATGTCTCAAAAGTCTCAACTTCTGATACAGGGCGATGAAGTTTTGAAAAAAAAAACAGTTTTTTAATAATAACTGAGATAATATTGTACACATCTTCATCAAATTTGATACATGTCTTCATTTCCGCTACCAGTGGCGCCGTTTGGAGAATATTTTATATTTTACTTAAAAGTGAGCAACGAAGGAACATTTTCAAATTCCATACAATTCTATGGAAGGCCATTCCATTCTGTACAAAATAGATCCTTCTGATTGAAGAACACCCTGTATATCTCATGAAGTTAATGTGATTTAACTATCCCGTTCAATTTCAATGTATTCATTCCATATGCTCATTCCTTGATTAAATCATTTGAAGTTGTTGTTTATAAGTTTGTATGGGAGATACATAACGAATTTTTTCAATGTTGAAAGAATGCTGCACTTTCTTCTGAGGATATGGAAATACAAACTGTAAAATCGCCATTTTAACTGCAGAGGAATTGGCTAAAGAACTAGAAATTAAACCTTAGCCTGGACCTAAGCTTGTTGCCACATTGAGAATTCAATTTGTTGAGCTTCAAGCTGGTGAAACTGCCCGCGACGTGCCTATAACCTCTACAGAAAAAAAAAATTAGGTTCAATTTTTCATTGACCCTTTATTAACGCCCAAAATGTTTGATCAAATTATATGTTGTTTTTTTTTTAAATAAAAGTCAATACCTTTATATGAAATATTGATTGTGGATCCATTTTGATTTTCTTTCAATTTCCAAATATTTAGAAAAAACAATAAACCGTTTTACCAGCGGACCTTTACGAATCACTAAGACTTGTGATGCTTATAATGGTATGAACGTCATACCAGTATGTTATTGAAGTTGGAAAAATGTTCATAGAGGATTAATTATGAAAATATAGTATTCATGTATGACTTTGCATTTTTTGCACTGAACACAACTCCTCTTCTGTTTACAGACTTGGTACATTCTTTGTACCTGCGAGATGTTGTTTTTTCGGAAAGGTGAACTTTTGCATTAAAAGGATTTATAAATTAGAAGAAATAGACTGTTACTAAGAGAATCCGTCGAATGATATCAATCGATTTGATGAAACAAGAAAGAAAACTCATGAATACATTCAGTATTTCGCCCAGTACTTTCGAGCGCATGAATATAATGGCTAGTACAATCAATGCTATACGGTTGGACCATTGTCGATCTAAATGAAAACCTAGTAGGCGACCTAGTACGCGAGGAGGTACAATATTGTCTGTTCTTTGAATCAAAATCTGTCTGCCTGTCAAGTGGCGCTGGCATCCTGAAAATGGAAAAAGCTCATTTGTTTCTGTCAAAATAGACCATATTAGGTTGATATTCTCTTCTTCTATTTTTCTCCAATATGTACTCAACCACAGACGTGCTTTCCATCATTGACGAGATATTTGATAGGAAGACGATGGAGAAGATTCATGTAATCATAAAATTATTTTCTGACAGTTGTCATTAACTTATAACTTCGTCTTTGTGGATGTGTTGAACTTTGATTTCCTTTCTTGGAAATTACAATTATACCTATACCTAATCATTTCTTCTAGTATTGGTTTTCTATATCAGAGTTCGTTGATTGGTTTGTGAGTGCGATTGTGTTATTTTGCAATGTCATCTGAAAACTGCGCAATCCAGGAGGTGAAGGTGTAATTGAATTATCAAGACATGGTTTCCCCAATCCCCACTGTTGTGAATTTGAGCCTCAAATCCTGAGGCGTCAATGGGTTCACGCCATATTCATTGGATATCAAGGTGAACTTTTTTTCTTGAATCACATAATATTTGGAACTTAATGATATTTATATTTCACTATTTCAGGAATGTGAGTTTTTGAAGTAAGCGAACATGATACTATATTATGTTTCCAACATTTTAAGGGAACTGTTTCTTGCCAATGAAGAATAGGAAACGGTTTTGGAAAGAGAGTACGGTCCCAAGTTTGTTCAAGGTAGAAATATATAAATAAAATGGTATTTAACAAATTTGTACCTATACTAACTAACTAATTATTAGTTTCGGTATGAAATTCACCAAGAACTTGACTTTGGTTCCTCTAAAAGTTGTTCCATAGTCAAAAGTCATTAAATTCATTTCAGAATGGTACAGGACATTGAAACTAGGGACAATATTTTTATATTTTCAGACTCGGCAATGTTGTTTGGAATATGATGCTGAAGAGGAATTCCTGCCTTGAGGAACAGGACCTGACGATGAAGAAGCATCTGAGGAGGAAACGGGCATTTGAACAGATATTATAGAATGATAATAAATAATAATAAAGTTCATTCGAAATGTTGACTTAAATATAAATTAAAAAGATACATATTGGTATTGAATATTCATGTGGTTTAATTTGTGCCAATAATAGACACATCTTCTCATATTTAGTGAAGTTCGTAGCTTCAATAAGATGATTTAATAAAAAATAATCATTGTTTTACTTCAAAAATACTTCACCTATATACAATATTTGTACAATATATATAGTGTTTTCAAACTTATCTGCCAATACATCTGTACAACAATAAACAGGGTATCAGAAGAGAACAAACTATATAGTAGAATAAAAATTGAAATAATTCTTCATAATTATGTACAATTTATTAAAAAAAATAAATTGTATTGCCATTCATACAATACATACAAGTTATATTCCAATAAAAAATTCTAAATATCCCAGCATCTTGACAAAGAACCCTGAACAATAGAATACCATATATCTGAGGATGATTCCTATACAATCTTGAAATCACTTTACTCTAGTGAAATTCTGAGTGGCTCACTACGAAAATGGTCCTGAGTGTGCTGGAGTGGAATATCACATGTTCCTCATCATCTAATTGATTGCTTGAAAAATGGATAAATTGAATATACATTGGGGTGTGTATAATTTGTAGCCTAGAATGAAATGCCTGGCTATTTCCAGCAAACAAATCATTGTTCTTACTGCTTATCTGGATTGAGCTCATCGAACTACAGGATGAAAAGTTTCTGATTTTATTCACTGCCCCATTTTCTTGTGTGTTTTTTCATAAAATCTTGTGAACTGGCTCGACTTTCAAGGAGGTACCTATCTATAAAAAATATAATGATATTTTGTGTTTGGAGCAGAATATCCATGAGACATTGATGAAATAACCAGATTGAGTCTAACCTTAGTGCTTCTATATATTTATTTCAGATGGTAAATTTTCCATTCTGTTCTGGAACATCATCATCCTTCTGGTACATTCCTTCTGAACATTACTCACATAATGATTTCTAATGTGATACTTCCACATCACTCATAGTTTTCCGTTTTTCAACTGAAAAGCTATTAATGTAAGTACTCTTCGCTGTAGGTAGGTACCTGAAATTTTCAAGTATATAGTGATTCCGATGTGTACATGGTTTACATCACTAAAGACATGTTTTCACTGCAAATAATGGAATTTCACGAATTATAGAGTAACTTATCAAAAATATAGAAGGAAAAAAGCAGCCCCTACCTTTCTGCTTGGCTTGCATGTCGAAAAAGTGTAATAGCACTATTGAGTTTCCGAAGTTTCCACAGTTTCAACTTAAATTCAAGTTGCATCATGAATCATACTAATACAGCATTGCCTAAACATCTTCCTGCTTCCATTCAAGTATAGGTAGATGGTTTTCATACTTGATAATATCCTTCGTGATAATGTTTCATTTTCGGGATTCCACATGACAGATTTTTATTTACAAACTTGACAGGACCATGAAAAATGTTACGGTTAGGTCTGACAAATGAATAACTTAGTTTACTTGGTTCACATTGATGTCTCTGTACTACTGAACGCCTTCATTTATTTTTTCAAAGAACAGACAATATTATGCTCTCGCCTACTAACTATACCTAACTAGGTTTCCATTTAGATCGACAATGGTTGGACATATATACGAAAAAACATATAGGAATGAATTCACAACCATAAGTCTCAAAACCAAGTTATTTGAAACACAAATCCATAAAATAAGGTGAACAATTCAAAATATTGCGTGAAAGTTGTTACCGAAATGATGATTTTTAATGTGTCACAAATGCCCATTGCTAGCTTATTGGACCAGACGCTCGTGTACAACCAACTCTAATGCATACTGTGTGACATTGGCTATTGAATCGACCAGCTAACGTACCGTAATTCGAAATAGCCTGAGTTTGACCATTAATGTTCAGTGGTATAATTGTCTATAAGTCAGCGCTAAAGGGTTAATGGATGAAGATGGTCTTTTATAAGACCGAAACATGTCCCTTATGATTATGAAACACCAATGAAATTTGTGGAGATTACTTCGAGCTTTCCTTCCTTTGTATAATGATTGGAATGTATCGCGAGTGGTGGGACAAATTTAATATACACCTTGGTAGTAAAAATATTATCACCACGGGACCTTATACCCCTCTGCTGGAGCCTCGGTATATAATCCCTGGGTAATACTAATATTCTATACGACCTTGGTGTATAAATAACTATTTCATAATAATTCTTCTAATTAACCCGATATTTCATCCCAAAAATTGAACTCAAAACAAAAAAAAAGCTAGTGCGCGATTTTAAAACCATTTAAATCCGCGTGATTGT